CCCAGAAGGGCAGCATGGATAGAGACGCCAAGGAAATCAGCACCCCAGCCATGTCACCCAGGCCCTTAGCATGTTCACCCATGGAGGCTGAGCTCCATCTGCAACCTGGCCCCCTTCGGGTTCCTGGAAGGTTCTCTGAAGGTGCCATCAGTGAGCACACGGACTTCAAAGCAATTATGAAAGCTATAGGAACAAAAACTAGTGCGTTCATTCGTTAGCAGCAAATAACACTAAATTACCTTAGCAAATAAAGCAAAATGTCAGGTCAGCAACTGGCAGAGATGCATGTTGGTCCTTCCTCCAACACCCCAAGAGTGGGGGTCACATTCTTAAGGAAACACTTTGGAGAGGATATTGAAACATGAGAGCAGGAAGGGAGGAGAATACAGTGCAGACCAGCCCCCACCGCCACGGCCCCGAAAGCCTGCTGTCCCAGGGAATTATGGGACCAGGTAGGCAGACTCAGGAAGGGCCCAAGGCCAGAGACCCCACAAGAGGATGGTGAGGGGCAGTGGAGAGGAAGGAAGGATGCTACATTCGCTCCAGTCACTGGCTGGTCTGCAGTCCAATAGAGGCTCGGGATACCCTGGGGCAGAAGCAGGTCTGAGACACGAAGGGAAGGAAGCAGGAAGAGCGTGAGCCTCCTTCTTTGAGCCTGGCTCACGCGTGCACACTGGCCGCAGGGAGTGGGACAGGTGGTCTTCGCCTCGGTGCAGAACACCATGCTGGAGGGAGGGAGGGAGGGAGCCAGAACCAGCCACGTGGCTGTGCACATCTGGAGGCCTGGGGGCAACCAGGGAGAGAGACAGAGGGAGAAAGGGAGGCTGTGGGAGGAGGCGGGGGAAGGGCCCCATTTCCTACACTGAGCTGAGGGGTCTGAGCCACCATCCGTGGCACTGCATTCCTCCTCCCGCCCCCGGAGCCTGGGTGCCTGGCCTGAGGGCAAGAATTTGGGGTTCCTGCTCTCCCCTGGGCCCCACAACACAGGGCCCCCCTTCTTCATACACCTAGGATCACAGATTCTGGCAACCTTCTTTGCACCTGTATTTTCTGCCCTTCCTTTAGTGAGACAACGAACACCCCTCGGTCTGATTCAGTGATCACTGGGAGCAGCTGGCTTTTCTCCGGTGCCTGGTCTCAGAGGTCTCTGCTCAGGATTGTCCCTCGGAGCCCTATCTTGCATTAACTTGTAAGCCAGGCTAGAGCCTCTGGGTCACACACATCGACTATTTAGCAATGATCTCAACCAATTGCATCAGAACTTCTAGGGATGGAGCCCAAGCACCAGTATTATTAAAAATCTCCTAAGGAATTCCAACGTGCAGCCAGGGTTAAGAACTATCGGACTGATGGAATCTGGAGTTGTATCACTAGGAACATAGTGCTCAGGATCAAGGAGGTGAGAGAATGATCTATTATGCGCTGAAACATTATCAGGCCAGGGCCTCTATCTGAAAGGCCGGTGATGAAACATGTCCAGAGGAGGGCATTGGGGGTAGAGAAATGATATCCGCTGAGGGAGCTTGAAGAGAGGAAGAGGCTCGGACACGGGGGAAAGGCTGGGAACAAAGGTCAGAGACCCTCTGTCTCTGAGGGCTGGGATGTATCCGCCCCATGAGATCCTGGATGTCCTGTGTTCGAACAAGCACCGCTTCGTTAGTGGTGAAATAGTCACCACTATGAACAGAGGCAGGGGACTGCCACAAGGTAGAGGCTGAAGGGAAGGCGGCCCAGAGCGGGTGGGAGAGGAAGAGATGACCACAGCCTCTACCCCTGAGGTCCCTTTAAGCCCAGCTAGGGGCTGGAATTCCCAGCACCTTTCCTGCCCTATCTAGAATCCCCACTTGGTGGCCCTAAGTGTTCTTTGCTTGCTCATTTCTTGCTGCCACAGAGACTGGCTAAACAGGCTGTCCGAAAAAGTTGGCAACTCTACCAACATTTAACACACAGCCCTGTGACCCTGAGATCCCACTTCTGGGGCTCCATACTGTAGAAACTCAAGCACAAATCTGCATGATTTGTATCCAAATTATAGGAACTGGCAAAATATATTCTAGAACAGCAGTACTATGAGATACTATGTAGCTATTCAAAAAGAATGAGGGAAGGCGCCTGGGTGGCTCAGATGGTTAAGCGTCTGCCTTCGGCTCAGGTCATGATCCTGGAGTCCTGGGATCGAGTCCCGCATCGGGCTCCCTGCTCCTTGGGAGCCTGCTTCTCCCTCTGCTTCTCTCTCTCTCTCTCTCTCCTCCTCTGTCTCTCATGAATAAATAAATAAAATCTTTAAAAAAAAAAAACAAAAAGAATGAGGGATGTTCTTGAAAGAAGCGAGACACAAAATAGTATGTACTGTAAGGGTTCCATTTACAGGAAATTCAAGAACAATCAAGGGGTGCCTGGGTGGCTCAGTCGGTTAAGCTCAGGTCATGATCCTGGAATCCCAGGATCCAGTCCCCACCCCGGGCTCTCCGCTCAGCGGGGAGTCTGCTTCTCTGTCTGACCCTCCCCGCTCTCATGCTCTCACTCTCTCTCAAATAAATAAATAAAATCTTTGGAAAAAAAATACATATGGTCTCAGTTTTATAGAAGCGTTAGCCTAGGGAAAAGTCTAGAAGGATAGCAAACCCTTAATAGTGCCTCCCTCTGTGTGGGGGGACTGGAGGTGAAGACAACCACTCTGTACATTTCTGTTGTTAAATAACAAAATCCAACTGAGTAAATCTGAAGATCTAATTGGCTTTATTAAATGATTCAGGCCACCAAGCCAGTAGAGGGAAGCTCCCAGGAGTTGTACAAAATGGAAAGTTCTTATAGGAGGGTGGGGCAAGAAAGTTTTTGCAAAAGGATTGTTCCAGGCAAGGCCACTTTCCCTGGGCAGGGACAAGCAACAGGAAAAGCCAGGGGTCTTACGCAGATTACCTCATCTTCCTTTGGGGGATGGAGAAGGCCCACATGGCAGATTCATTGGCGACCCTACTAAGAAAATTCCTATAAGACGATATTTCTGGGGGACGTCAAAAGTGCAATTAGACTATATATTAAGCCCCAGTGTAGGGACTTGGCCTAAGTGATGCCATTTTGGGCCTGTGGTGTTTTGATTGTGTTTGCTTGTTAGTTTAACACAATACTGTCTGCATTTGCAGTGTTCCCGCGCATCACTGCACACAGTCCTCCGCTCCGGCTTCTCTGGGAGTGCCCTGCCCTTGGAGGCCCAGGATTTTGATACTTGGTGCAAACCTTGGCTTCACATTTCAGTTTAAGACTTGGGCTTTACAGAAGCCCCTGGCAACCGACCTGGGGAAGGCACAATTCCTGCCCGTACTGAGCAGAGGCAGAGTGCTCTGAAAGACGACAATCGGGATGGCTCAGGGCCCCAGCCCTGCCGTCTTCACCCCCCTCCCAGGCTCTTCCCTCTGAGCAATCAGATCCACTAATTGGTCTTCACAGCCCTGGTTAGAAGTGCTCCTGGAGGTGAATTCCGGTCACACCTCAAGCCAGCCAGGGCAAATGAACCCTTGCTCTGTCCCCTCTTTAATGTGGATGTGACACCTGCAGGCTACAGCTTGTCGCACTGTGAGAATTATTTCTCCATTAAAATGCAGAAGTTGGAGCTTTGCCCAGGAAAGGCAGCTAAAAATACTGCTCTCTGGAGCACTTATCACAGGGGACTTAGTGGCCACCTTCCTTAGCCCTCAGCCCGCAGGAAAGTACCCCCCACTTGCCGGGTCCCTCCTGCGAGCATCGGATCCAGTGTCTGAGGCTTATCCTGGCCCCATCAGGAAGAACAAGCACTGGTTCCCATGCCTCTTTTAGAGATAGGCAAACTGAGGTCACTGCGCTCCATCTACAAAGTCACCTAGGGAGTAAGAGAGTGCAGCCCAGACGGCAGGGAAGAAAAATACCCCCCACACGCACCCAGCACTTTATAGTTTGCAGGATCTTCTTACCCACTGTCTTGTCCAACCTTCAGAGAGATCCTATGAAACATGAACCACCGTCGTCCCCACCTGGCAGGGAGAGTTTAGCCCAGTGGGGTGAGCAACATGCTCAAGGGTGCAGAGGGGGGGAGTACAGGGCAAAGGCAGAGCCCCGACACAAGTCTTTTGATTCTAAAATCCACCCAGGGCACCCATAGTGGGACTTCAAGCAAGGTGACCAGTCTCACTGCGGGGGCCATGGGCTTTTAATAATAGGCACTCTGGTTTGTAAAGAATGCTGCATACATTTCAGGGGAGGACTCGGTGCCCTACTTAATGGACAAGGAAATCAAGGGTCAGAGGTATGAAGGACTCTGTCACAAGTTAGTAGTGGAGCTGGGAACAAAAGTCAAGTGTCCTGACCACCACCTCCCCCATCACTGTCCTGCTGCCCCAGGGCCTTGTCACCCAGGGGCAAATGGGCACAGTATGCTCTGCAGGCTTCCCCATCCCTGAACCCAGCCCCCTGGAAACCTGTTTATCTGCCACACTCACCCCTCTTCTCAGTCTTTGGAGGTGGAGGATGGTGAAAACCTCAGGTCTGTTTCTTATATAAGAAAAGTAAAGCCCAGAGAAGCTAGATGCCCTGCTCAGGGTCACAGGGCAGAATGAGGTCCCGGACCTGGATCTCTGATTCAAGATCGGTGCCCGTTCCAGGGGACCAGCCAACACCAGCATGCAGAGCTCCTTCCCTGGTATCAGCTTCCTACTAGGGCTCAGCTTCCCCATCTGTAAAATGGGGTGCTAGAAGTGGCCCTAAGCAAGCCCAGGATCTGAGCCTCCCAAGATCAAGAAATTAGGTGGTGCTTCCAGGAATGGGAGGAACCAAGCCTTCCTGGACAGCCAATTTCACTTTCCCAAGGGGGAAACTGCGGCCAGGGAGGGGCTGCATGGCCACAGAGACCCAGCGACTGAGGGAGGAGACACAGGCATCCCTGCTCTGGCCTCAAATGTCCAGGAGGGGATCCCTCCTGCCAAGTCCTGCTGCCCAACCTGCTTCCACACACTTCTCGGAGAAAAAGCTTTCTACAAAGCCATTTATTTTTCCCAAAATACACCCCCAGTTAACAAAATTCCTCAGAGTCCCACATTTAAATTAGGCATGCCACCTCTTCCGTTCCCTGGGGAAGGAGGAAATGTCAGCAGAAGGACATCAGAAGCGTTCCGGAGGCCGGGGGCTGGCGAGAGACAAGCCAGGAGGTGTCCTCCCGGCTCCAGAATAGCACCATGGTGGGGGGTGAAGGGCTGTGTCCCTGTGCCCTCCTGGCCCTGCCCCGTCCCCAGGCTTCCCCTACACTTCTGCTCTCCAGGGTCCGGGTTGCCGTGGCCGCCTGCCCACCTGCTCACCTGCTCACACCTTGAAAGACTTTGGAAACCATCAGATTCTCCGACTGTAGCAAGAGGTTCTGCCCCTGTCTCCAGGTTTCTGCCCGCACCCCCTGCTCTGGGAAGGGATTAGGGACGGCCTGGGCATGAGGTATCCAGGACGCTGCGGGCACATTAGAGGGGTACTGTAGGGAGAAGGGCAGGAGCCCCCTCACAAGGCGCAGGCCGTGGCAGGCAGTTGTCTGTCTCCTCGCGGTTCCCCAGTTGAAGGACAAGCTCCTTAAAGGAGGGGCCTGTCTTCTCACACTGGGTCCCAGGTACCTAAGGCAGTGCTAACACCCCACGGATGCTCAACGAACATGACTACAATGGATGAACAAAAGGATAGGAGGGAAAAGCAGAGGGCTAGAGGCCGACCTCCAGGGGGCCCATGCAGACCCCCAGAGACCCAGTGTGACCAGCACATGCTTCCCATGGGGAGGCAGCCCCAGGGCACAGCCCAGGGCACCACGGGAGAGACTAGGCGAAGGGAGGTCCCTATGTGTCCCAGCACAGGTGTCGGTGTGCCCCTGCATGCCTGGGGGAAGGGCCCTGTCTTCACTTAGGGAGGGAGGGAAAAGGCCAACGCTGGGGCCAGAGGCGGGGAGATGCCTGTGAACTCAAGGAGATGCTGAAGCTGCAGTGTCCCCGTCTGAGGAGACAGGCTTACGGGGGCGGGGGAGTGGAGCAAAAGGCTGAGAGATGAAAACTAGTGTAACAGGGCCACTGGAGAAAGAAGGCCAGGAGTGACTGCGTATCCTGTCTTTGGAGAAAGAAGGCAGAGGATCCGTCTGAATATTGTGTCCTGTGAAGAAAAGGAGGCAGCCAGATGGTCCATGCAGCATATCCGCTGGAGAAATAAGGCGGTGGGGTGGTGTCTGTATCATGTCCATAAGAAACAAGACAGCAGGATGGTTTATGTATCGTGTCACTGGAGAAATAAGGCAGCAAGATGACTTGGGAATCACGTCCATTGGAGAAAGAAGGCTGCGGGGTGGTCTCTCTGTCCTTTGGAGAATGGGCAGACCTGCCAGAGTGGGAGCCATCTGTTGGGGGCAGGGCTCACACTGAGGCCCCGGTGCAGCCAGAGGTGGGAGCCCCCAGGCTGGAGCAGCAGCTCCCTGGTCTTCGTGGTCAGGCTATTTCTTGTCCATCATCTGCATTTCGTGGTGGAAAGAAAAAGTGGGGGAAAAGGCATTAAATGCAGGAGTTGTACTCGTGGGCATGCTCCAGAAGCCCAGGCGCATGCTCATGCACTTCCAGGTGGGCAGTGTGTGTGGGGCTGGCCGCCGCAGTCTGACTAGCAGCCCCTGGGCTAAGCACTGCCCTGGAGGCCCGGACAGATGCCAACACAGGAGCTGGGCATCAGACAGACCACGAGGTCCTCGAGGGAGGCTGCCTAATCCCCACCAGCTTCTCTCTCCAACCCCATGGCTCCGCCGCCCCACACTCCTCCCAACCACCTTCCCTGGCACACTTGTCCCCTCCTAGCTCCCCCTCCGACTTCCCTGGCCTGGCTCCCTCCCCAGCTACTAGCAAGAAATCCTTTCCAGCTTCCCTTCCCATGCTGAGTTCCTCTGGCTCTTGTCTCCACCTGGGGGGCACCAGTGGACTGGCCCCGCTCCACTCCCTGACCTGGGGGAGGGTTTCGAAGGAGGACCAGGGCATGTGTGACCCCGCCACTCCCTCTCCCATTCTTTGGGGTCTGTCTGTCCCAGAGGAAGTAGTCCTCCCTTCTGGGCACTGCCTCTGTGCGCACGCAGTGTGACCAGAGACTGGAGGGCCAGGCCGCCCCAGTGGGAACAGGATGGGGAAGCCTGCTGCACCCTGCACCCATGCCATTCTCCTGCGGCTCTCTTCTAGAGCCAAGCTGACATTTTCATCTCCATCTGCTCAATCCTTCTATGCCTCATTTGGTTCAGAACAACAAGGAGGCAGGTAACTTATCTCTATCCCTCCATAACCCAACATAGGCCTCTTATTGCCATGGAACATTCTACAGCATTTGAAAGGACTTGCTTTACAGAGCACTTCTGCATTTGTCACCGTGCCTAATCCTCACCACCATCTTGTAGGGGAGGTGTGCATTCCACAGATGAGGAAGCTTCCCAGAAGGTCCAAGGCAGAGACTAGACCCAGTGTATCCCCTCCCGACCCCGGGGCCTCTTTCTTCTGCACAATGCTGCCTTCCCAAAGCCCTCTTACTGGCTTTCGTGAAAGTCTGAGTCTATGACCCTCTCGTATCACGTATTTTGTGCAGGCTTCTGAGGGCCCCATTGCCCGCCCCTTGCCCCTGCCTCTGGAAGTTTCCTGAAGACAGGGCCTATGTCGTTCCCTTCTCCCCTAAATGTAGGGACGAGCATCCAGGAATTCAGTGAACGTTTCTTTCCTGACAAGGACACCCAGGCAACCTGAAAAAGTTTCCATAACCTTTAGCAACCAGCTTTGATTTCCTAGGTGGAAGCCACTGATATCGAGTGGCAAGTCTGCATCAAGGAGTGTTTTGTTCCAAATACACACATACACACACACACACACACACACACACACACACATATACACAGATGTCGCTGTTGGTTACTTTCAGTAAGGAAGAATCTCAAACTTACTTCCAACCAACGACTTCCTAACGTAACCGCTGATGTTACAGAATATGAATAACGATGATTGTTAACATTTACTAACTGCCTACTACATGTCAGGAACGTGGCTGCCCAGCCAAAAGCCATATTCTCTGGCCTTGCTGGAGTTAGGCGTCATGTGACTAGGTCCAGACCAATGGACGGAAACTGGAGTAACAGGAGCTATTTCTAGTCAAGCCCTAGAAAAAAATGTTCCTCCCTGTGCGCCTCCCCCCTTGCTTCTGGAGAGGGCATGGGAGCTGGAGCTCCCTGGACGGAAGCTCTGAGTGGAAGAGGGCAGAAACCAATAAATGGAACCTAGCTCCAGGACATCAGTGGCCCTAAGATCACCTATGCTTAGACTGTTACAGGAGAGAGAAATAAATCCCTGTCCTTGCGAAGCCTCTGTCACATCTGCATCCGCTTAGAGCAGCTGGGTTACTCCACCCTCTGCCCTGCTGCCAGGGGAGAGTCAAGGCTGCGCTCCTGGGGAGGGAGCAGGTGATAGTCACCCCCACCACCAACGACCCTCCCCAGCCTCCCCCACACAGGGGTGCCAACACACAGACACAATCTCAAGCACCACGTGTCTTTACCTTCTTTGTTTTCAGAGTGTTTCAGAGGCCGCAGGGCTGCAAAAAAAGGAAGGAGCACACAGTGAGGGGGCCCGTGGAAAGTGGCGGGGTCAGGAGTCAGGCAGAGGGACAGAAGCCGAGGAAGAAGTGAGGTCTACGTGGACTGGGAGAAGTTGGGAGGATGAGGGCAACCTCCCAGCCCCAGGGAAGGGGCCCTAGGCTGCTGTCTCAAGGCCCAGCTCCACTCTGTATCCTGTCACTCCTCTCTCTGGGCCTCAGTTTTCCACATCTGTACAATGGGAACAGCTACCCTGCCCTCCAGTGAGCCAGAGATGCAGAAGGACACTGAGTCTGCTCCGCAAATAAGGGGGAAGTAAGAAGCTACAGGAGGGCTGCAGCCCTTCCCAGGTGGACCTGCAGTCATGCAGAACAGAGACTGAACAAATCTCTAGGCCACCCTCCTCTCCCTACCCCCTCCCTCTGTCAACTACATCTGACTCCGAGCAAGACAAATGAGGCCTGATCCCAGGGCTGTCCCCACACCAAAGGCAGAGAGTTAACTGGCACCATTTGCAGCTGTCCCCAGCTGTCAGTCTCCTGCTCTTCCTCCACGGGGCTGGGGAGGGGACCAATGTCAACTGGTGCCATCCCAAATGGCTCAGCGGGAACCTGGCTCTCCCAGCCCAGGAGCCCGAGGAGGTGGGCAGCGAGGCCTCCAGGGGCCACGAAACACCGGTGCCGTGGCACCCACCCCAAGCTAGGCTCCCAGTTAATGTCTCCAAAGCACCATGCCCTTTGCAAACCACCTGTGTGTTCAGTCACTCGAAAGAGCCTCTGGTGCCATCAAGGCAGGGCCAGCATAACATTTTACAGAGGGACACGGAAGCCCAGAGCAGCAAAGCACTTTGACCAAAGTCACACAGCCTCTAACCAGAACGGAACTGTCTTAAATTGTTACCTATTAACAAGACTCCAAGCTATCAAGCATGGACCAGGCACCAGAGACGGTACTAGACCCTTTATATACATGATCTTATTTAATTAAACCCACACAACCTATGAAGGAAGACAGTTATTAGGAGGAAACCAAGACTCAAAGATGAAGAAACTGAGGCTCGGAGAAGCAAAGTGACTTGCTCCAGGCCACTCAGCCCACGAACAGCAGCTGGAACTTAAACCCAGGCTGCCCTGTCCCCTGAGCCCTCCCTCTTCCCCTAGGAAGCCACCAGACCCCACAGTGCGGGGTCACTCAGAGAGGATCTGGCCCTGGTAGAAAGGTCAGGTAGGCAGGAAAGACGAAGCAACACCTGAGAGGGAGTCAGGGGAGATCCACATCAAGGCCTAACACTGAGCAAAGACCGGACTCATCCGGGCAGGAGGCCACAGCCCATAGAACATACTGCACCCAAACCCCAAGCAAATCTGGCTCCTCCGGATCCTAGAGTCCTCTCCCCATCCCTGCATCCTTCCCTCAGCCAATAAGACCAGCTCTTGGGCGCCCGGGTGGCTCAGGCCTTAAGCGTCTGCCTTCGGCTCAGGTCAGGCTCCCAGGGTCCTGGGATCGAGCCCTGCGTCAGGCTCCCTGCTCCGCGGGAAGCCTGCGTCTCCCTCTCCCACTCCCCCTGCTTGTGTTCCTGCTCTCTCTCTCTCTCTCTCTCTCTCTGTCAAATTAATAAATAAAATCTTAAAAAAAAAATAAGGCCAGCTCTAAGATCAGGCTTACCGGTCTTGGGTCCCTCTCCATCCCCATCCTGGTCCTCAGCACCTGGAAGACAAGCACTCAGTAAACAAGACTTTCTCAGCCCACGGTCATTCCTGCGCTTCTCCACCTGGGAGCACAGGAGGCACGTTAAGCAGGCTGAGTAGGCCTGGCCTGCGGTCTGGATGTTGGACACAGGGTGGGAGCCTGAGACCAGCACAGGGCAGAGCCCACCCCTCCCCCAGCCAAGCACCATTTCCTCACCCCTCCACCTAGCCACACCCAACAACCCCATTGCTCCCCCATTCACCCACTTACCAAGCCCCCCTACCACCGGCCTCCAACACGAGCACCATCCACCTACCTGTGCACCTGTCCTTCTACCAGCCCGCCCTGCCGCCTGCAGCACAGACCGCTACCCACCTGTCTGTCCCTTCTCCTCCACACATGCACCCTCCTTCCTGACGCCCAGCCAGCTCCCACCTCCGACCATCTACTTCCATGTTCACCCAGGGAAGCCTTTGTGTACCCACCTCCCACCCACGGGCATCACCCCCGACTTACCAATGTGTGCTCACCACCCACCACTCCCCAGAGTTGACACACTTCCCAGCCAAGCTCAAACTGCCCATCTATCAAGGTCAACTCACCACCTGCCAGTCACCGAAGTCAACTCACACTGATTCCAACCCGGCTAATGGCAGCTCCTTCCGACTCTGCCCATTGGGAGGCAGACACACCCGCACACAGGGCCCCCACACCCATGTGGCACTCACATGTGTGCACTAAATTTCCACGCTCTACACCCACGCTGCCACACACAGACACCCTCGGGTGACTTCCACCCTCACCATCACACTGCAGCCCCACACGTCCACCACTCACTTCCCGTCCCACTCCTACGCACACTCAGCCTGCCATATTCCCACCCTGAGAGGCAGGCTCACGCCTGTTCGCACATATAAGACACATTCAGCCTCAAGGCCACACACAATCAGGCCCCATGTGCGCACTCACACTGCCATAGACACACCAACATACCCAAAGACACGTGTGTGTGCACACCCTCTCTCCCTCACCTGCATTCTCCTCCTCGCAGCTCTGCTTGATCTTTCTCCAGCACACGAAGGCCAGGGCCACCAGCAGTGCAACAAGACAGACAGACAGCCCCACGGTCACCCACAGGGCCTCAGGGGGGAAGGTCATGGGCTGCCCTGGGAGGGGAAGTGGAGAGAATGGGAAGAGACGGTCATGCCTGGCCCCCATGGCCCTGAGGACTGCACACCCTTGGCCAAGAGGTGTGAATAGGGAGCTCCCACCCTCACTGGGCTCCAGCGCTATGAAGAGAGCTCACTGAAGTTCCCACGCCACTCCCCCACACCAAGACACATCCAAACCCCGACACAGCCATGGCTGGTGTGGACAATTCTCAACTTGGCAGGGGTGAAGAGTCTGCAGTTGATGATGCTCTAGAACCTTCTATGGCTCCCCACTGACATTTGAATAATGCTTCAATCCTCTCAAGGACTTCTATTATGTGGCCGTTCCTTCCCCTCCTCCAGCCTTTCTTTCCGTGTCCACCTCAGGAACCTCTGCTCCAGCCAAGCTGGTGAACTAACCATTCTCTGCAGAGACAACTGGCTCCTTCCAGCCCCCACACCATTGCTGTCAGGTTCCCCTACTTAAAAAATGCCCCCAAATGCTCACCTAGTTTAAGGTTCACCTCCTCAGGAGGCCCTCCCTGACTCGTCCAGCCCTGCCCGGTGACATTCCCCGTCCTAGAGATCGGGAGTCAGCAAATTATGGTCTGTGAGCCAGATCTGGCCTGTGGTCTGTTTTTGTATAGCCTGTAGGCTAATAATAGTTTTTATACTTGTAAAGGGTTGCAAAAAAAGAAACAGGAAGAGCAGAAGGGGAAGGAAAAGTAGCAGGAGCAACCGAGATCGTATGTGGCCCACAAAGCCTAAAATATTTACTCTCCAGCCCTTTACAGAAAACGTTTGGGGAGCCCCGCATGTAGATGGGGGTGGGAGCTGAGGGTGCCGTGGTGAGGGTTCTGGGTTTACCCAAGAGGGGGAGACTTGCCAGGGGAATGTTTCTGTGAAGCGCGGAGGGCCCGTCTGTTAGCTATCTCTCGGCAGAGGGATGGGCTCGAGGCTCCCGCACCTGGGTCAGGGCCAGCCACTGTCCTGAGCAGGCCAGCCAGCAGCCCAGGCCCTGGGCCCATGCCAGGTCCCGGGCAGAAAGCTCGGGGACCTCAGATCAAACAAAAGACAGCACCGCTTTCCTCTGCTCTCTGTGGACCACGAGGGCCCAGGGCAGCAGCGGCAGCCGGGGGGGCCAGCTGGTTCTGCAGAAGGCTCTGTCAGGGCAGACAGCAGTGCCGGGAGAACCTTCGGCCACAGAAGCCCCGGCAGGGACACGGGCATTTGCAGCAGACGTTCCCTTGGCCGGCATGGCTGGCAGAGCTGCCGCTCAGGACGTTGCAAGCAAAGGGACCCGTCACCCAGGGGAGCGGGAGAGGACAGCCGCTGACATGAGGGGCAAGAAGGCCAGTCCAGGAAGCCCGTGAAAGAAAAACCCCTGGGGATCCCAAGTGGGGCTCCTGCAGCAAAGGAGGGAGCAGAGGCACAGAAATAGGAGGAGGGAGGATCTCCTTCTGTGTTCACCCCCTGACTGCTGTCAGTGCCTGGAACACAGGCCAGACTTGCCCTGGAGTAAAGAGCGGGGCTCAGGCCAGGGTGTTGAGGCTCCACTCCCAGCGCGTGCTCCATAAAGCCCCCTCCATGCACAGCACGCGGGGCGTCACGACCCTCCAGCAGGTGTGGGAAAGACCAGGCTGGAGGACTGACATTCTGAATCCCAGAATGTTTTAGCAGGCACAAAGCTGCCTGAAGCGAAATACAGGCCAAGGGCTCCAAAGTAGGCCAGACCTGCTCTTACGAAAACAGGAGGCTGGGTGGTGGGGAGGAGAGAAAATTAGGTTGAGAGGTTAAAGGTTAGATTCTGGTCCTGGTTCATCTGCTCACCGCCTGGTTCATCTGCTCACCGCCCTGGGTGAGTGGAGAGGGGCCATGCACCTTCTAAATGTAAATGCAAACTATTGCATTTACCATTTATCCAACTTTCAAAGAGGTGCCTGGCCCCCAAAATGGAGCCACTGTGCTAGTCTGCCGACTTGGGAAAGTTCTCTCTTCTCTCTGGGCTTTGGTCTCCTCATCTCTGAAACAAAAACACTTTAAATGTTAGCTCCTAAAGTTTAAAATTAAAGTGTTTTTCTCTTAGATGGGGTAAGCGTTCTCCCTACCATTCCATTTACACCCATAAGCCCTTTCTGCGCAGCGTGGCAAATACCCAGTTCGGCCCCAGGTGCAAATGATCACAAAGTCCACCGGTCCCTCAAGGCTCTCTCAACTCCCGCCTGTCCCCGGAGACTTCTCCCGACTGCTCCTGCAGCCCACTTCCCTTCTCAGAAAGCTTCCCTTTCTCTGCCAATCTCACTCTACCTGGCACTTCTTATTCTCTCTGGAAACCTACCAGGTGGATGGAAGTCATGGGAAGGGAAGACAGGACAACCAGACAGACAGACCCTCTGTCCTGACACCAGAGGATGTGGGGAGGCCCCTGGGAAAGCTCAGTTGCCCAGGGGGAGGGACTGAGGAGACAACCTGATGTCCCCAAACAGATGGAGACTGCCTCCCTTAGCCTGAGTGTGGGCCTGCGCCCTCTTCACACCCCCAGGCACAAGGAGCACCCACTGAGGCGGACAATGCAGGAAGGGAAGGTGTTTGGGCTGGGATCCCAAACCAGACCCCAACCAGATTGAGGGAATCCCCAAACGGACATCAATCTGGTGTTTGACCACAAGGGGGCAGCAGAGATTCCCCCAACTGCTGCCTGGGTTGAGCGCTCCCCTCTAGAAGAGCTGACACCGCCCGGATGAGGGTCGGGACGGAACACCTGGACATCCCCAGCTGTCTCTCAGATCAGATGGTGCCATGGACACAGCAACACCTTCCCATCACCCGGAGGACTTCCGGTAGGAAAGCCCTTGCTCACCATGCCGTCTGCTCTAGAACTCCCACCCCTACCCCCAGATGCCCGCAGCTACTCCCGCCTCTGTGTAAGAAGCACGAGGACCACCTAAGGTGCTCTTAGGAGGGCCAATATTACAAATGACTCATATCAGCTCCTTAAAGCAAGTCCCTCAAGGACTTCTTGGTGGAGAGTTTGAGACACCTGAAATGTCAGGCTTCTGACCATCCAAACCTACCTAAATTCCAACTCAGGGTCTAGAAAAAAGGCAGCGGCTCCCTTCGTATCCCCAGCGGTTCACCTGCCGCCTGCCTACCTGTGATGGTGACGGAGCCATGAGCGTCCTGCCGCAGCACGGGGTTGCGCACCAGGCAGCTGTAGGTGCCATTAGCGCCCAGCACCACCCTCAGGACGCTGCGCACGTCGAACAAGCCCTGCTCGTTGGCCATCTGCGACGTGGTCACGTTGCCCGTCAAGGGTGCGCCCTGCCCGTCCTGCCAGAACACCTCGGCCTCCGGATAGCCTCGGTAGCTGGCGCACGTGATGGTCACCGTGTCCCCAGGCCGCAGGTCCTTGTTGGGCTCCAGGGTCATGCTGGGCTTCGAGTAGGGAGCTGGAGTGGGGCAGAGGGTAGAGGGCGGAGGTCGAGGTGAAGCAAGGACGCGAGGGCGGGGATCGCAGCGGAGGAAGGGGCACCTGGAGGGACAGGGGTCAGCAGCGGGGCTTGAGTTACGGGGTCAGTGGTGGCGCAGTGGGTAAGGGGCTGCGGGAGCTGAGGGATGTGGCGAGGGGACGGCGCCCCCTCCCGGCGCTCACCCGCCACCTGCAGGCTGACTGCGGCGCTGCCGAAGTCCCGGATGCTCACAAAGCAGGTGAAGCTGCCCTCATCAGCCACGCGCACACGCTGCAGCCTCAGGGACGCGTTGCCCTGCGCCAGCAGGTCGGGGAAGAGCGCCGTGCGGTTGGCGTAGGCGCTGCCCTGGTCCCGGCCCTCGGCGAAGCTGTGCACCAGCTGTTTGGTGTCCGTCAGCTGCCAGATGAGGTTGAGCTGCGCCAGGCTGAAGCCGGGTTCGGGCGCGAAGGAGCAGCGCAGGGTGGCATCGGTGCCCACCAGGGCCACCACGGGGTCCTCGGGGACCTGGACCTCCACGGCACCTGGGGGCGAGGTTGGATAGGCGGTGAAGAGGGGTGGGGACACTCTGGGCTACCAGCCTACAGCCTCCCAGATTTCCTTCTTTATTAACAACCCCCAGTTCCTGTTCCATCTTCCCACTTTCTCTCCAGACCCCAAAGCAGACTGAGTCTCCGGATTCCCAGATGTGGAGTCACCCTAATCTTATGACAAGAATCACAGGCGGTTGACCTTGGCCTGACAATGCCTGTTCTGGGGCGGGGGAGGCGCAGGCCGGTGACAGCATCCAGCCCTAGCAACCCCCCCCCCC